TAAATTTCAAATGAAGACAATACTACATATTTGAAAAATTATAAAATCAATTCTCCTTAAACCTACATTTTTTTCTTAAACCATGAAAATTTGACCCCATGGAAAATAAGAGATTTTACAGTAACCTGCTGATACGGGTTATGTCTTTTTTTTTGGTAATGTTTCAACCTTTTTATCACACATACCACAACAAAGATAGCTGGACCACTCTAGTAGTTTCTCCTAGACTGAAAACAATGCAACAGAGATGGTGATCTATGTGGCAGTTGAGCATCTGTGTGAAAATTAATTTCCTCTGGGATCAGTTTGTAAAATAGAGGGTTAGAGCTAGTTCCTGTCGCCATTCTATTCATGGATAAACATGGGCATGCATGCATACTTACAATAAATACTTCATTTCTTGGTTGTTCACATACAAATTTCCAATTTTGTTCATACTGAAAGGTTATTTTTTTTTTAACAAAAAAAGATATTATGTGTACCTCATAGAGAACCAAAATCTCTAAGGTGGCTTTACAGAGCTTACCATACTAAAAGTAGTGACCTTTGCTCTGTTTTTTGAAATTGACTTCTTTTCAATATTTGTATGAATTTAAAGGCAGTGTAATCTTTCCCTAGAAATCTAAATTCCAGAGAATGTGTCCTTTTCCTGCTTAAATAATTAAAGAACATGGAAAATGAATTGACTCGAAACTTTTGAATTACATGGAAATAAGCATTGTACAAGTACATAGAAATTCTGATCATGGTACAGCGATTATGATCTTGTTTTGGCTTTGAATTGTATACAGATGAGCATTTTCCTGACATAACGGGGTTCTGGTCATTTTATGGTTATAGGGATCCTGTTCTGGAAGCTCCATATTTTGATGACTTTTCCATGGTATGATTAGGTGCAAGCTTTTGTACACTTAATGTCACCCAGTTGTAACATGACAAAAATCAATCTTCATATCACTGAAATTGTTCTATAAAACACCAAGGGATTAACAAGGATTTAGAAATAAAACCTGGTCTGCTACAGCAAATGTATTTGTGTAATTAATTTAGAAATGCTTCATTGCAGCAAGCCTGTGATTAAGTTGGTTGTAAATTTGATTTCGACCAACTGCTAATGTGGCAGTCTATGCTAATCACCTACCCATATCATACACAGCCAGAATCTGGGGTCTTTAAGCTTCTTCAGATAGCGCTCAGCGTCATCATTATAGAGCACAATGGTCCCTTTTACTGGATATTGATGAACTGTATCACTTTAACGCAACTGTCAATATTTGCACCGAAGCAAAACAGATCTTCTGATATAGAAAGCAATATTGCCATAATTATAGAGTTTTTCTTCTACCCTTTCAATAAATCTGTGACATACATTATCTTTCTTTGGACTGACACTCCCTATATGAAGAGATTTTTAGTTTTCATGCAAGTGAAAGATGATTTTAATTTTTCCAGTATCACTTAATCTAAATGCCAATGTTCAGAAATTTTGTGGAATTTAATCTTTTTTTTAATTCATAATGAATATTTCATAAGAGACAGTTTGTCAATTAAGACAAATGAGTTTTTTATTGGTTGGGATGGACTAATCCACATTAAATTTGGGATTAATCCCAGTAAGGAAAGATTTCTTTTGAAATTGCTTTTCACATTAATCCTACACTATTTGATTGCAAAATCCAATCAATCAACACCCTGGTCATCAATGATCAAATAAACATTTCAATAACCTATCCCAGAGCAATGGTATGATGGGAAGAAAATTAAGTTATAAGATATCTGATCCATTCAGTACCAAACTCCAAAGATACAAAACACCACCCTGTCTTTGGAACTAATTTTTACAAATGACCAACAATGCTCATCTAATTTTGCAATGAATCCAAGATAAAACATCCATATAGCTGTGGTCCTCAAGATGAGCCAACTTGCAATTTCAGTCAAATTTGGCACCTGTTGGTTAATTTTCACTGGCTACTTTTCATTAAATGCTTTATTATTTGGTAAGTTTTGTTTTTGTGGGACCATTGTTTTCTACATCAATTATATTTTGAAATTAAATCACTTCTACTACCAACAATAATCAAGACTCCTAACTTAGTGTCTTAATATTGATTGTATCAATATCTCCATGAATTCTCAACTTTTTTAAGCATCTTAATTGAGAGAATTTAAGATATTAAATGTTATGCTAAATTTCTGCTGAGACTTCATTCAATAATTTTAAAATGACTGCAATATAAATCATAGTTAGAGTAAGGCAAAATAATTATCTTGACAGCATTGAAACAGAATACATGCTAAAAAAATGGCTGCTGACAAAATAAAAATGCTGCTGACAACCATGAAACTAGAAGAAGATTTCTCAATGATGACAGAGAAATGGCAAAAGATGGCTACATCCGATAATGAACAAAACAATGGCAAAACCGTGCTTGAAGAGCCCTCTAATGGCCCACAACACCAGAAAGAGAAACATATCAGAGTTATCAAATTAACCATACACAACTAACAACTGTATAACATTGTTATTTTCATTACCAAATTATTCCTATAAACTTAATTGCATGACCACTGAAACAGCAAGAAATTTTGTAACTTCCATGTGATAATGAAAAGACATCAATTGCTTTTCTCTTTCTTGGTTTTCATGCAATTACATACAATTTTCCTTATTTTTTATGACACAAAATTGTCTATGAGTGATGCAAATGGATGTAAACTGAATCAAAAACACCTAGAGAATGAAAGAAACAAGAAAATTAAATTGAACACTGCCTGAGTTATCTTTTACAGGTCAGTGGGTCATACAGCAGAACCCAGGAGCTTCTTAATTAATTAAAAGTTTGCAGCTTCTCCATCCTACCAGAAAAAAAAACTCTTTCATTCATGTTTTGATGCATGAGGACAACGTGTCAAGGTTATCTAGTGATGTAATCTTTTGTTGAGCAAGGTACCATCATATCCCAGAAACAATGAAGATAATGATGATTCATAATTGATTGCAAATGAGTCCAAGAACCACTGTTGATCAATTACCTGCATAACACTAATTTTGATCTTTTCCGCTTACCATTCATTTTTTATAGGTATTTCACACTTATTCACCACGTGGGAATAAGTATAACTTCTTTGTAAAGTTTTTACAGGCAACTTCTAGTGCCACGTTAGCAATATCTCACCCACATCTTTACTGTTCCAGTTGAAACTTGTATCTCTTTCATTTCTTTTTCTCAAAGAATTAAATAAAAACTGAATGCAAGGAAATGTGCAAAGTAATGCTTTATCTTGTTTATCTCTGTCTAATATAGATTTTTTTTCTTCCTTAACTTCTTAAATACATATACATGTACAAGTTTCTAAAGGACAGTTTGTCAAAGCAAAGAGAGAACCAAATGAACACAGCATTTGACCTGACTGATCCTTACGTATGATTTTGATTTTAATATTTCTATGGTACGTATGAGGTTTCGTTCGAAGATTAGAATGTGTCCAAGGTTGAATAATATAATAATATCACCAAAAATATAACCCTCACAAAAACTGCCTTGCAGTCTGGCATCCTTTTTAGGCATAAGATATACAAATCTGCAAACATTTCAAACTTAGATAAGTTTGGATGTGTCAATATTTGAGGAGCATAACATATTTATGGACAGTTCCTGGATGTAGAGAAAGACACTCAAATGGTGAGAGTTAGAAAGGGCCTTGACTTAAAAGTAAGAATAATGAAGACTACTAATAGAAATATCAAAAGTAACAAGCAGGAGGTCACAGTTTGTAAGAATTGACTTTATTAACAGTTTGCGAAGATGTGTGATAATTAATTCTAAATCACAGGTATCATCTAGTACACCTGTTACAAACTGGACTACATTTCAACACCTTTTGAGATTATGATGAATGGGCTAGTCCAGACATCAATATGATTCATTAAACTCTCCTCTTTCATATAATCATATTTTGACTTTTAATAATTAAATACTGTGACACAATTTTCTACACCTCAAAATTATGTCAACCAGTAATTCATTTATTTGTTCAGAGGGTTCTCTTGTTTTCCCCCTGTGAATATACTTGTTCATCATGCTTTATGACATTTTTCAATATCCCACTACTATAAGCTCTGTGTCTCTATCTTACTCTGTCATCTGGTTGAACAAATGCATTTATGCCCTTGTATGTGTTGTAACTGGCAATACTAACATAAATCAAGTGCATTGCACAGTACATTAGACAATGCTACTATATCTAGTGGACCACTCTCAGGTGTCTTAGAGGAATACTAGCCTTCTATTCAAAATTTAAGTTTGAAAGTCAAAAAAATTTACTGATTGTCTTTATAATACTTTTGTGCTTATATTTAATCAATTTTCCCCTCATCATTTTGTATGATCTTGATGAAAATCCCAGGAAAAAAGATTTTTGCATAAAACCCATTTTGACAAAACAAATGCCTCGGCCCTGTTCAATGATAATTGATATCAGTAGGAGCAAATTCAGTAAACTGTTTGCCTACAAGTATTGACCTCCGAAACTCTGCACTTTTCCTTTAATATGTATACACTGAACAGTCAATTCAAAATCAATGAAAATTTCATTGAAGTGAAAGACGGACTCTATTAATTTTTCATGTTATAATGCAATTCTCAAGTTAGTTCTAACTAATTAATGATAGGTGGATGTAGATTTTCACCTTAAAACCTTTTTCAGCGGAATTAAGTTGTAAATTTATTATCACTTTTCATTAGTACATGAGATGAAGTAATGACCTGTTAACGAAATTAACACAGGTATTGAGATAACATTGTAGTAGCAAAGTTAAAATCACATAAGCCCGACTTTTTTTTCTTTTAATGTCAAAAGTTCAACGACTTGACAGTTTACTGCTAAAATATTTCTAACTCTTTCTTAAGGAATGCCTTGACAATCAACTCCACAGTTTAAAATCCGATCGTTAGTGTGTTTCCTCGATGGGGGGTGAGGGATTTTTTTAAGCTTACCTCGTTTGACTCCGAACCCCAAGAAATGCATCAGGAGCAAGCATGATGCTACTGAAACCATGGCAAACCCTTCATCACATCACAATGAAAATCCATGGAATAACTACTTTGTGTCAAATAGCTGTTTGAAAAAATCTGTGTACACTGTGCATAGCGTGTGGGACCAATAGACACTTCGAATCGAACATCTGAGAGTCACCGCGCAAGCAAGGTGTGCGAATAAATGCCCGCATCTCCACTGTCCAATCAATACTCGTTATTCGGAATGAAATTGTCGTTCCGCCAATGAGAGTCGCGCTCATACCCGTCTCCGCGTGTGCCCTAGTTCTCAGGCATTGCTCAATGAGATTACTATAAGTCCGACCAGATGTCCAGGTTTCAGTACAACTTTATTCAATTTCATTACACTGAATCGAAGGAAATCATTTGCTGTGTGTTATGTTTGTATTTTCATCGCATAGGATTATTCTTTATTGAGAAGTTAATGGCTCGTTTTAATACCCCCCCCTCTCCTTGAGGGGGAGTATTAAAACGAGCCATCAACTTCTCAATAGAGAATACGCATGGGATATCTATGTCACTGGAGTGAGTTGAATATGATGATAATATGATGGAATGTTTCAGGGTGGGGGTCCTCAATTAAACAACGTACAACCATGTCTTATTGTCAGTCTAAAAATAAAGAAATGCTTAATATGATTTAAGGTTCTTTGAAGTCTTAGAAAAGGTCTTGTAAAAAGTTGACTTTTGTACCCCAAAAAGGGGGGGGGGAATAATTCAATTTTACAGAAATCGAATTTCCTTTAGTCTAACATTAGATACTACTGCTCATTAGCATGATATGAAATTAGATGTGATATGTGATGTCTAGCAATTACCTCACAAGCTTTTTACACTATGCATTATATGACAACTGAATTAAAAAAAAAAAAAGAACTAAAATACTGTACAAGCATAAAAAATGCAATTTTCTTCAAATGCCTGGATACCTATATTTTTCTATCCTAAATTGTATTTGTTGATCAATTTTTTAAGTAGAAAATGCATAGGTTACTAAGTGAAATCAGAGACATTTTTTTGAGCACTTAAAAGCTGATTGTTAGAACCTGAGGATCGGACTACCTTAACATGACTTTATCTGTGGAAAAGATTAACAAGATTAACAAACGTCTGATCATAAAAAGTGTTGGACCAAAGCACCCACGCACGACTACGTTTATTCAAATTAACAGTAACTTGTAATTATTTCCAAACAGAAGAAATTCCTCAACACTCCGAGTACAATCACTTGTAGATTTAAGAGAGCTTGTCAATATACGCACAGTGGTTAACTCACAATATCTAAATAAATCAAGCTCCATTAGCCCAAAACAAACTATACTTACTTGCTAAAATAGGATTAACTCTTTCGTAGATATGATAATACGTAAATACATACGAAAACCTATTAGGATCAAACTTTAAAAAAATTAAAAGGCGTTATAACGCCTTTTGAAAAGACGTAATTACGCCTTATTTGCGTTTGTACGCCTTTTTCATACATTTTAAAATAGTAAATCGTTGAAACTGATTTACAGTGAGAAACAAGATGTGTTTGTGAAACACTATGCCCCCGATGGTAACACAATTCTGGAGTGGGACGTAGACTACAGTGCAATAGTTACGGCCAATGTTAAAGTTTTTCAAATGTAGGTCAAAGGTCACAGTTGAGGTCACATGATCAAAAATTTCTGTACCAATGAAAAGGTCTTGTCGTAATGAACAGTCATGTCAAATATTAAAGCCTTACCCTTGACAGCGCAATGGTTATGGGTTAGGTTAAAGTTGACAACAGACAGACAGGGCAAAAACAATATACCTCCGGAATCTTTCGATCCGGGGGCAGATTGTAAACTCTTAAGTTATTAATACTACAGTTTTTAAGGGGAGGTCCATTGCAAGCCATGGTTTTTCGGTACGCTACGCCCACCAAAGGAGAGAGAGAAAAAAAAACCCAGTTGGTTTGGTTTGAATATATATGTAGCTTATTGCCTTTAAATTTTACAAATGGGATCAGGCAAAATTCTTAGAATCTTAACACGCCTTTCCTCTACATGTGAATTATATTAAATATATTTAAACGTATGGGTCATAGTTCAAAATGAATAAGCACAGGAAAAACATAATAATCAGAGGAATATATTCTATATGATACATGTATCATATACCACACAAATTGGATAGAATTTGCGAAAAGTCATTACTGCATCAACCAACACGATCTGACTATTTTAAATATTTGTACAATTGAAAAAAAGGTATTCTGACATACTCAGCATCACTTAACAATTTATCTACCCAGAGAAACGTGTGACTATCAACGCTATGTAATTTCCGAATTTGCAGAAAATTGTCGGAAAGTCTCCCTGTATAATTCGGTACGTAAATTAAGGTGGTTTAGATTTTACTACTAGTATCTACATTTCAGCAGAAAATTACTGTTTTCATTGTTTGTCCGAATATCCGCATTTTGTTACTTGTTATGTTACTTGTGTTGTTAAGTGCACTTTAAAATATGAATTTTATGAATCCTAGAAGTCAGTATATTTATACCAAAATACTGTACAAAAACAGCAATGAAAATATCAACCAGGTTAAAAAAAATGTAGAAAAGTATGACATCTCGGGATACACCTGAATACAACCGTTTTAAACAAAATTAATCTTGTTGATTTATTTTCCCCGGCTTTGTCCGACTATGACGTAAGGATGTACCCTAGACCAGTCTAAGGATAAAGATTCCTGTAATTTAGCACGTCCCCGGCAGGAGACAGTATGATGCTACCAGTAAGTCCGTACAAACAATTTGTAACACAACACCTCAGAGACAACAGGAGACGATATCATTATCTGATGTCAATCAAATATAAAATAGATCAAAACATTTCTCCTCGTGAGTTTTCTGTATATACGAATGCGAAACTTTGAAAAGAACTAATTAATCATCCATAAAAGTGATCCAAGTGTCAGAGTTTAGGTCAGGACTTCTCTCCTCTAATCGAAAAAAATGTCACCAGATCATCGTTCAAACTTATCCATAGATTAACTGGGTACTGCATGTAGATGGATGTCGTTCGTTTTTTTTTTAGTTATTATTTTGTTCTTGTTTGTTAGTATATTTTGGTATCCCCCATCCCCATCTGATAACGTGTTATAAATACGGGGATGGATCCAACTGTTAAAACAAACCCAGCCGAGACAAGCAGATATTCTATAGCCAACTATTGAACGAATATTCATCAATCTCGACATACTATTTTATGTATATGCACATAAATCTGATAATTTATATTTGAACATGTCATAATTTGTTTTATCAAGCGAATAAATAAGTATTGAGTATTGGCAGGAATTGTCTAGGGTTGCTTTAATGGCACCAGCTGTTGTCCTCCGATCAAGTTACCTGCTAGCGATAGGGACAACATCTTGTATCTCGTACCGACATCTTGTGCGATGTAGTTACAACATCTTTGCCGGAAATAGATTATCCGTTGTAAAGAGGTTGATATTTTATTTCCACGAAATTAACACTTTTGTGTACCCTATAGAATATACGGTATAGCATACACAGAACCCGATACATGATACCTATATGCCTACTTTCCAACTCTGTATACAACCATTTCCCACTATAAATTAAACTCCAGGCTTTTTGACATCATTGACAGCTGCTTCTTCAATTAAAATGGAACTCTTAAATTCACTTACCTTGTCATGATTGGTCATTTGCAAAATTATTTTTGTTAAAAAAAAAAATTGGGTTGTATACACAAGTACTGTGGAGTTGACATTAAAAAGATGCTTGAGTTCCTATGTAGTTTTTGGAGACCAGGTCTTCCAACAATCTGATGGAATGCCCATGGGTACCAATTGCGCCCCGTTGTAAGCAGACTTATACATGAGAAAAAAATCTCTTTCTGTGGCCTTCATCTCGACATTTAGATATATCGACGACGTATTATCAATTAACAATAGTTATTTCCATTCATATGTCGACATTATACATACTCCAATGAGCTTGAAATAAAAGATACCATCTGTTTCATATTTTACTAGAAAAAGACGTTAATGGTAATCTTACAATAAAGCTTTATGATAAACGTGATGACTTTAACTTTTCAATCGTCAACTTCCCTTACTTATGCAGCAATATACCCTTATCACCAACATATGGGATGTATACCTCTCAGTTGATTCGATACGCAAGAGCATGCTGTAATTTCTAAAACGAGGCAACGTATTGACAAAAGTCATCATTTCGTAAGTTCTATGGTCGATACAATGACCTTGTCAGCAAATACAATCTATCGTTAAGTCATACATGCGCGGATCTAGAGGAGGGTTGGGGGGCCGGACCCCCCCCCCCCCGGAATTTACAGAGGATTTAAATTATATACTGAAGAAAATAAAAAATGACTTTGGAACACCCCCCCCCCGTAAACGTTGACCCCACCATCACCACCACGAAATAGGTGTTTTTTTACTTTGGGAACTGGATTTTACGTTTTGTTTTGTTTTGTTTTGTTTTTTTGTTTTTTTTTGTTTTTTTTGTTTTTTTTTTTGTTTTTTTTTTTGTTTTTTTTTTTTTTGCTTGTCAAGTAATTTTCTGGATAAGGAAGGGAATTTAGTTTTTTTTCTGCTTGTAATGAATTTTTTGGGTGGAAAATCAAATCTTTTTTTGACTGGGGTGGAACACCCCCCCCCCCTGGAAAAAATTCCTGGATCCGCGCCTGTCATATGCTGAATGACGTTTTTCATACTAATTGTTAGGTCATTATTTACACACTGACTTGTCGACGGATTTTTCCGTTTTTCCCGATCATGACAAGGAGCACACGGCGGGTGTGACCGGTCGGCAGGGGATGCTCACTTCTCCATAGCTCCTGATCCCACATCTGATGTTTTTGGAGGTCCATGTTTGTTCTGCTCCCGATATGTAATGTTTTAATGGACTTTGAGCTTGAATACTGTTTGTTATCTCCATATTTCACTACTAGTATGAGCCCGAGTTCGAAGTTCAGGATGCATATGTTTTTTTTTTTTTGGTATGCAGTCAGGACTCTTCATCTTTGA